GCGAAATGCGAAATACTCATAGAAATTGTTCATTCCTACTCAACTAGCATATATTTTAAAAAAATTTTATTTGAGACGTAAAATGATGTTATTTTATTTGTTACAAAAAGATGTGATTTAGGCGATAAATATAAATTAATGCACACCACTCAAACCTAAAATAAACTCGTTGTCTCTCTCTCTCTCTATGTGTGTGTCTCCCCATCGATGGATGGATCGATCGAAGTGCAACTCGCAGATGGAAACAAATATTAAGCATGCCTTGCACTCACAACTAGCGGTTGACTGTTGTGGGCCTAAACCTATGGGGTGCCTAGAATTGTGGGCTAGCTGGGACACATTAAAAGGCTTTTCTAGTCTAAACTACTTACTAAGGGATAATAATACAACGACAAAACAAACCTTAAAACCTTTGACCAAAAGAAAAAAACAAATTTAAAACTTGAATTATTGTACTCAATTAAGAGTTTTTTATATTAAAGTCATTCACTCAAAATACAAAGAAAATAGAAATAAAACGTTGGTGCAATCTGCAAAATTGGGTGAAATCATGGATAATTGTAAAGCTCAAAGTTCACATGAATAAATCTCAATATTGTTTTAGCCCCAAAAAAGTAGAGATATTCGGGTTTATACGAAATAACAATAAGCGTTTAAATTAGAATAAATTGAAACAATTGTTAGATGGCACGTGACAATTCACCTACATAGGACTGCTGATTTAACATTGAGTAACATTTTTTCACGTACTTCTAAATTTAATAAAAAAAAACATAATTTTGTTACAAAAAACAATGTTTAATTATTTATATAATAGGGGAGTTAGCATCGTTTGTCTTTGATTTTTTTGCAGTTGAGATCGCTTTAAGATTATTCATCCAATAATCCTAATTAATCTCTAAAAAAATTTTCCTCACATACACATTCCAAAAAACAGTAGGACTATATTTTTCTCTCCCTCCCACACATCTCTGTCTCCAAAACCGAATGGACTCTTACGTCTCTATCTCTCCCAGCATCTCTCTCACACTAATAGAACTCTGTTTTGTCCGGCCCAAATATTTTGGGAGAGAAACGTGAATGAACCCATGGCAACACCAACATGCCTCTCTCTCCCCTACGACAGCGTCTCAAGTAACTCTCTTTCTACCTCTTTCCCTTCAAATTTTGTTTGTGAATTGCTTGTTTTGTTTTTACTTGCGATTATGATTACAAATTTGTTTAGGTTTGTTATTTTGTTTGATTATCAATCCTATTTCTTTTCTAATTGTAGTTCCCATTTCCGATGACTGGGGACTCTTTTCATGCTCCAACAATTTCCAGTTTGCTGATTGGCCTTTTATTTGCTCTTAAATCACCAATTTATGATCTAAGAGTAGAAACTCCCCCTCCTCCTCCTCGTCTTGGGACAATTCGATACAAATTATTGAAGTTCTCAAAGGGAACTTCAGTCATGGATCAAAATACCATTTTTTTTATTTGTGAACTAATGGAAACTTGTATCTAATTTCTTACGCTCTTTGTGTGTGTTTGTTGTATGTAGGGGGTTTATGCCTGGAAGTTGTCCCCTTCACTCTGTATGTGTTATAAGAGATTGTGTGGAGTCCTATTCTTGATGTTTGATTGTGTTTGGTGAGATGCATGCTATTTAAGCTCACAAATGGCTTGATGTTTAGCGTCATATACATGTTTGTACACTTCTTTATAGTGAAGGTGAGTTTTACGGTCAGAAGGACACGTCACAATGAAGCTAAGTTTATGAAAGTGTACTTCCTTTGAGTGACTGATGCCATGTAGAGAAAGGGTGATTATACAAATTTAACGAATGATCCTTCTAAAATCAACTTTTCAAAGAACATCAGCAAAATGCAGATTTTAGTATTTGTGAAATCGAACTTCACCTAATGACACTATATGAACCTGTATTATTACCTAACACATGTAGATCGTGTCCAAATATCCTACCATAAATTACAATACATTTGCTTCCATTTCTATTCTCTATTTGTTTGTTTTGGTAAAATACATCTATTCCTTAATATGGTAGGATCATGTGATAGATTACAATGAATTGCTAAGGTCTTTTTAAATAAGAAATAAAGCTTTCTTTTTTGTAGAACGGTGAAAAACTATAAAAAACGTGGCTAAGTAATTGAAGTACAACAAAAAATTTCAAATTTTAGTTTTCTATCTTATTGGGAACCACTTTTGTGGTCTCTTTGTTTCACCGAAAGGTCTATTATTCAATTATAAATTAATGCAATATATTTTGGTTACCCAGACTCCAAACCTGAAGCCTGATTCATAATTGTGGCTTTCAAACACATGCAACACTTACAAGGGCTTATGCATTTAAATATATAGGTCAATAAGGTTGTTGTATTCGATTAATTTTAGATGAATTGCTAAGTTAAATTTCTTATAGCTCTATGATTTTAATCGTCATAGTAAATTAGGTCGGTTAATTTACTAATTGATTTATTTTGATTATAGAAAAATCATAGGGTTGTGACGGGAAAAAAGTCGTGGCTACTGAGGGAAAGGCATGCTAAGATCATTGGACTTAGGCTTATTCTTTTTTGTAGTACTATGGTTTTGAGGTGAATTGTGCAGTCATGGGGACTCCTCCTTGAGCTGAAAGTTTTCAAGTTCACACAATTTCAATTTAAATGTTTTTAACTTTTTTGGTTATTTTGTATGTTGGTAATAAGTATAGCCATGTTATCTTAAATGAAATATGAAATTCAATTACCATAGGAAGCATAGTTTTTCAATGGATTCTCATTTTTTCTAATTGGGGATTTTTTTTTTGTTACACAATGCTTTTTAGGCATGGATATTCTACCGAATTTTTTTTTTTTTTAAATAATGAGTCTATATTGATTGATATTTTGTGCTATACATTACTTTCAAATACAATTTTTTATTTTAATGTAATGCCTTTAATCACAGACAATTATTATTAACTTTATAAAATGAATCTATTATCTATATGTTAGTATGTACATAATGGACTTGTACATGCCCACATATAGAATATTATACATGCAATTAAACTTGGATAAATAGAACAAGTCCAAATAATGGACAAAAAAAAAAGGCACATAAAAATGCAAACTCTGAAACGAAAAAACTAAACCTAATTGCAAAATTTCATTGTGCTATAGAGTTTCCCCTAACCAACCACCAATGCACATAATTCATATAATCCAAATACTCTAAAATTCATGTTGAGGACTTGAGAACAAAATGTAAAGACTCCGAAGTGAAATAATTTGTAAATTTAGACGCATGGAGTTTAATTTTTTGCAATTTATTGGACCTAAGCCATGAATGATGTATCTCTTACGAATATTTTAATTTTGGCGTGGATAATGATCGAATCGAGGAAGGGAGTTGCCCATAGGAACACTTTGAATCATTAAAAAAATAAAATAAGTGAAAAAAAACTTTTGATAACATCACACCGGAGAACAGAGATCATCACTTTGGCCGGGGAACAATAGTGATTGACTTTTATGATATATAAAAAGTGTTCCACTTGATACCTCTAAATTATTAGATTTAACCACTAAATCATCTATGATTTGATTAGATGCTTCAATAAGTACCAAAAAAAGCCAAATTTAAGAGTAAATATTGAATGCAATGGTAATACTATGTTTCAAATTGATGACATGGTGTCGTCAATCAATAATAAAATTTTAAATAAAAAATGTGAACTCTACTTGGGCTTTTATGACAGGAAGATGAAAAGTTATTTATTTACATGACATGTTAGTTATTAATTTTTATAAGATTTATTTGCTTATTTGTTTTACTATTAGGACTTGTCGTATGCTACGTTTTTTTTAGAATAATGTTATTGAATCTAATTTACTGATATAATTTGTTGATCTAATTCACCGTGACATTTTGATTCACTGTAGATCCTGTCAAACATTGGAACTTGGTATTGATCCAATGATTCCTATGACATTACATCATTATGTCAACAAATTAGGTCACATTTTTAAATAGAGTAATGTTATATGGACTTAAAAATTAAACTTGATAATCTCAATCATTGAATAGGTAGTTGGTCCCAATAAATGTTGGGACTCACAGTGAAATCAATGGTTGAGATTATCAAGTCTATTTTTTAAGTCCATGTAGCATTATTTTTTTAAATATAAATAATAGTGCTCTTTTTTTTAATTGATGCCCACGTTTTAATTATAGAATAGAATCTACATGCCCACCTACCCGGCGTCTCTATCTCTCGTACATGTGGGGGTTAAGGGTCATTTCGGCCATTTGAATTTGAGTCAATTGGAAAAAAAATGGTTTGATATAAAACATTTTAATAAAAGAATTTAATTTATAAGAGAATAAACTCAAATTTAAATTAGAGTTAAATATGGCAATTAGATATTAAAAAAATAATAATAAAATTTGATAATTAAAAATTTGAGTAAAAAATAGAGTATTTCTTCATTTAATATGAAGTTGAATAAATGACTAGAACTTATTTTTTGTTTTTTTTTACTCAAATTTAAATGGGAGGAAAAATTAAAGACATTCTAATAGATTTTATTATTTTAATAATTACCTATAACTAACTCATCAAATAACTTTCACGTTGGAATAATGAAGTCACCAATTTTATTTAGTATTTTATTATTAATTAATAATATCATATATTAATAATGATAAGGTATATCCAAAATCTATTTATAGCAAAATAAACTTTGCTTTTTCAAAAGAATAATACTATTTAAATTTAATTTGTGCTTATAATTATTGGATTGACAACAAACTCTAATATTTATTAAGACTTTAATTAATTTATAAATTATATCAGCAAATTAAATTTAAAAAGAATCAATTTTTCCGGAAATCCATTTTCAAGGATTTTCCCTACCAGCAGGCAACAACTACCATTCCCACACTTTAGCGAAAAAAAAACTACCATTCCCACTCTCCGCGCCTATAAATACACAAACCCACACGTCTGTACACGCACACGCACACACATGCACGCACATACTGTAGTTTCATCTACAGTGGGGTTTTAAGGGTTTTGGTCAAACAGCTTTACAATGAAATTCACTTCTAATCTTATTTACTTGTCTCTGTAATGCCTTTTTATTGTCAGTAAATGGCTTCACTATTCCTCTCTTTTCTTCATTTCACTCTAATCTTGATCCTCTTTTCATACCCGAGCTTCTTCTTGTACCCAGCCTTTACTGTCTCGGCTTCGTATGATGAATACTCCACAACCCACTTCGATTTTAGTCTTTTCCACCAGGATTACTCACCGCCGGCGCCGCCACCTCCTCCTCCGCGGCACTCTCCTTCACTTTCATGCAAGGACGACCTTGGCGGAATCGGCTCAATCGACACCACTTGTGAAATAGTCTCCAATTTGAATCTAACACGAAACGTATACATAGAAGGGAAGGGCGATTTTTATATCCTTCCCAATATTAATATAAATTGTTCGTTTTCCGGATGTGAATTCGCTATAAATATTACTGGTAGTTTCAGTTTAGGTGAAAATGCTTCGATTTTGGCTGGGACGTTTGAGCTCGTAGCCAGTAATGCAAGTTTTGGTAATGGGTCTACTGTTAATACCACGGGTTTAGCAGGGTCGCCACCGCCGGAGACGAGTGGAACCCCACAGGGGGTAGAGGGGGGTGGTGGTGGGTATGGGGGAAGAGGGGCAAGTTGTTTGCTTGATAAGAAGAAGCTTCCGGAGGATGTATGGGGAGGGGATGCGTATTCATGGTCAACATTGCAGAGGCCGTGGAGTTATGGGAGTAAAGGTGGGACGACCAGCAAGGAGGTGGATTATGGCGGTGGTGGTGGTGGGCGGATAATGTTGGTGGTAGATAGGTTTCTTGATGTTAATGGGAGTTTGCTGGTTGATGGAGGTGATGGGGGTACCAAAGGTGGAGGTGGGTCTGGTGGCAGTATCTTTATTAAGGCTTATAAGATGTAATTTTCTTCCTTTGCCTTTTGATTGATATAATTGTGGTCTGAGGACTTGCTATTGCTCGCAAAGTTGGTTCTGGGATGACTTATATGTTTCCATGTCATTTATATTGGTGTATTGAATATTCCATAGTGTTTTTTTTTTTTGGGAATATTAAGTGAGAATATAATGTTCTGTGCTACAGTGTGCAATGTAGTGCTAAAGTTCATTCAGATGAAAGATTTCCACTTTGTAAGTAGCGAAATGTTTGACCTTGTGCATGTTTTTTATGAACCATGAAATGATTCAAACTTATAGATAATAAAAGCTTATATTGGGGCTCTATTTAGTGTGCTTGAGTTGTCTCCGTTAGAGGTAGGTTGACAGGGTGATATTGTGTTTGAGTCTGTCAGATAAATTTGTGAAAGCCCCTTTTACTCATGAGATAGCAGCCAATGAAAGAGTTCAGCATATGCAAACGATAGAAGCCATTCTGTGATTCTGATGGCTTTTCTCTGTTAGGGTGGGCAAACTGTGTTAAAGTTTTTTATTGGTAAAGTTTTGTAGGAAATTCATAATTGTTGTTGGTCTTCTATCAATTTATTTTCCGTGTTAGGTGAGGCCTTTTATAATACCATTCAAAATGATTATTAGCCTTATTCCAGAATGATGGTATGTAGAGGCTTTCTGTAATTCATGATTGGGCTTATTCCAGTCTGCTAGGTCCTATATGGGAAAGGATTTTCAATGGGGGAGTCAAGGAGATAGTTTGGATAACCTGTACTGATGTTATGCTTCTCATTTTTCTCTTTAACATGACTTAATCCACATTTGTGGTGATTTGTGCATTTCCTTATATCAGAAGAAAACACTTCAACGTGTATGGTTCTTTTGTGGTACTTTATTTATGTTTTTCAGAAGTTAGAGAAAAAGGACTGATTCAACAAAGTATTTTGTTTGGTTCAATGAAGTAGTATTATGAAGCGCACTTATGTTGACTCTAATTATGTAGTTTCCAAGGCTAGAGGTTCAATCAACATCACTCTGTAAGCCTATTTCTCTTGTCATTAATTTGTATGGATGGTTTCTTGAATTTTGTGATGCCATAATGCTGTGTTCTCCAATCTATGTTTAAAGGACCTGTTGGAGGGGTAATATCTTTTGTGATATGATTTCCTGCGAGAGGTGGAGAACTCGTAGAAACTAGATTTTAGTTGTAGTGTTGAAGATTAATTCTAAGTGTATGGTCTTGGGAATTATGCTTCCCAAGCCATTTTTTTATGAAAAAAGGAATTTTGGAAGAATTGATATTTGCCAAAGAATAGTGGCCTTTGACCCTATATGAAAATTTTACTTCTCTTTCTACCATTACCATTAGGAGTTTAGGACGCATATATATTTTTTTTTTTGAAGGTTTTAGGACGCGTATACTTTTTTTTGGGAAAATTAGGATGCGTATACTTGCTCCTTTACTCCAGTTGAATCTTCTATAAATGCATCATAAAGTCAAACACGTCCTTAATTCTTTAGTTCTTTGTTCTTGATTCTATGCCCATGCTCTTTTACCCTCAATATTTGCTCAGGACTTCTTGATGTCTTCTAAAGTTGACACTTTGGCATTTGCTCATGGACAGGGGAATACTTTGGCATGCTTCAAATGAGGTGATCTAAGTTTTTCTTACTCTTAATGTAGTATGCGTGTTATGGAAGACAAGAAAACTTCAAACCAACTTTTCCTTGAGAGTTCCTACTTATTTCTTGTAGACTTTGGTCATTAAGGTTCTGCCTGTTACTTGGACTATTGAATTTGTGCATGAAAGTGGTTGTTTTCAAGAACAATTGAATTAAAGAAAATATTATTGTGGAGGAATTTGAGATAGGGAATGAGAGAGGGGTATTATTTTCTTTGGGGATTGAGGCAAAATTAAAGAATTTCAAAAAAATTGTTGATGGATTTGGTATCGTTTTTGGGCTAAAAGTTAATATGGATAGAGCATAATTGTTGGAATAAATTACTTACCATTTGAAGATTGGTAGTTTGACTGGGATTATGGTTTTCCTACGGGTGAGTGTCCTTTAAACATGTGGGCCTCACATTGCGAGGTAATCCATTTTGTTTTGCTTTTTGGGAGCTAGTTAGTGAAAGAGTGCGAAAAATATTGGATGAGTGGAAGAAAGATTTTATTTTAGAAGGAGGAAGATTAATATTTCGGTCGGTCCTTGCTAGTATTACCATTTATTATTTGTCCTTGTTTAGTATAAGTAGATGCCAAGTCAGATAGTAGAGAGGATTGGAATATTGATTTGAGACTGTGAATGTGAAGAAAGTGGAGAAGGGAGATAAATTTATTTTGGTTAGTTGGGAAGTACTTTCTAGATCTGAAGCTAAAGGTGGTTTTCTGATGGGAAACTTGGTGGCTAGCAACATGACCTTGTTTTGGGACATGACATAAATTATATTAAATCGGCCTAACAAGAAAACATATGTCTTATAATTAAATGTTAATTTTTTTTAAAAAAAAAATGGCTCATAAGCTAGTTTTAGGACATGGACATGGATAGACACCAACCCATTTTTCATCATGCTAACCAAACACTGAAAAAATTTATAAATTTTCCATTTCTTGCATTTTCTACTATTATCTTGTAAAACAAATGGACCCATAGGGATTATCTCAGGTTTTTTCAATATATTAGATTTCTTGTGGGTAATGGCGTGACGCGTGAGGATCCGGTTGTTAGGAGGCTCTTCTTAGTTTGTTTGTTTCCTTGTCTTTTATCACATTTCTTGTGCTCATGATGTTTCCACTGCTTCAGTGATTTGATCTAATTCCCATACAATATTTTTTGAACATGGGTTTTGAAGAATCTTGATGCTGGAGATAATTGGGATTTGATCTTACCACCTTTCTTTGCTTAATGGTTTGAATCTGGATCATTGGTCATCGGATTAAAGAAGTTGGGTTATTGATTCTTTGAGTAGTTTCTATTTTGAAGTGTCTCTGTGAGTTTTTTAGATGCTCCTTCATGTCAACTCCTTTTCCTATCATTGCCGATAGAGAATGCTAAAGTGCACCTTAAGGTGCTAGTTTGTGCTTGGACTATTACTTACGGCAGGACTAATACCAATGATGTGCTACAAGCAAAGAACTCATGCGTGTCTAATGAAAGTAGTGGGTCACTTATTTTTGCACTACCATATTATGTTGTCTAATTTGGCATGAAATTTACAGGGTTGAGCTGTGTGTCTCCTTATTCCTTTTCTGATATGCTTGTTGGGAGAGCTAAGAAAGGAACCATTCTTTGGCATTGTGTAATTCTTACTACCATATTGATTATTTGGTTGTAAAGGAATGCGAGGATACTTGAAGTGGCGGAAAGACAGACAATTGTACAAGCTGTTTGGTGCTACATATTTTTGATTAAGTGCACTTTACATTGATGAAGTTGAATGCATAAGCAGTTTACAAACACGTGTACATTGATGTTGGTATGTTTTTAGTTGATACTCCATAATAGTTTTTATATTGGATTTTGACTAGTTTCTTTTGAAAATTTTAAAATTTTCTCATTGTAAGTACATCTTAGATAGCGATACGTCACACAAGTGCCTGTAGTTCACTTGTACCTTTTTTTTTTGGCTGTGCCTCTTGATTAGGCTTTGGCATATCTTGTTGGCTGAATGTTCGAGTCCATTGTGGCACCTATGTTTCTTTTCTTTTCTTTCTTATTGGACATACGTTCACTTACGTGTTTGATAAATGTATGAACATAACATGTGTATCCCTATAAGATACACATAAGGTTATGTCATTTCATTCTTATCTGTTAAACATTGATGGTCCGCCATGGTTTAGTTGTACTAAGGACACTAGACATTATATGCAGATTACATAAATTCAATTTTTTTATCCAACTTGTTCCTTGTGAAATGTAGGACTGGAATTGGTTGGATCAGTGCTTGTGGAGGCAGTGGTTTTGCTGGCGGGGGTGGTGGAAGAGTTTCTGTTGATGTTTTTAGCCTGCATGATGACCCAAATATCTTTGTTCATGGTAGGACTGGTTACGTGCTTTGCTGCTGTTTCAAGTTTGGTTTATAGAAAAAAATAACCGTTTTGATGAAACCAGGTAGCGAACGTGAGCCCCTTGTGCATGAATGAACTTAATTTTTCCTTCTTATTGCGTCAAATTTGTTAAGGTTTTCTTTCCAAACAAATATATTGATTGTGAATGAATGTGGGAACTTTCTCTTGAAAGGTTTGTATGGGTAGGTTATGATAAAATATTGAGACTAAGGTAATAAATTTTAGAGCACAATCCATCTTTCCCACTTGTGGTTTGGGGTCCTAAGGGTATAGTTTTAAAATAAAAGCATAACCCTGTTATGCTTTTGGTCTAATCTATTTAAAGGAATTAAATTTCGTTTCGAACGGTCGAAACATTTCTACTTCCATTAAAATTGAAACAAATCATTGATTAAATATCAAAATTCTTATGTTTCGAGGTGTTTTGACCTGTGTTGAGAAATGGTTTGGTTGTTTCGACCAATGTTTCAAAAATGAATTTTTAATTTTTTTTTATTTCCATATTGTTTTTAAAATGTTTTCCGAAACATTATCGAAATGTTTCTGTTTCAAAGCTCATTGAAATCATGCACCGAAACGAAATTTTTATTCTTGATATGATCCCATTAAACTTACTGTCCATATTTGAGGGTGGGTGACACACGCGACACTAAGGGAAGATTGAGTTCCAAGGTATTCATGATTAAAAGACCAAAACACCCTTGAACAAAGACATTCTCTCCTTCCCCTTCTCTTTTCTGTTTAGAATGAAATTAGATCTGATCATTGAGCCTTATTGCAATAGATCTTGTTGGACTGTGTTGTATTGTAATGGGTCAACAGTACGATACAAGTGCACTTTTACTACACATATGCTATAGCTTCACCGATCATGAGCTTTGGATGGAAATAGATCTATAAATAGTGATTTGATTTTTGGATTTTTATTTGATTTGTCATGTGATTGGATTATGTGGTGGTAGTGGTCTTGGGATATTGGCTTTAGTAGGAATCTTAATGATAGACAATGTTCAGAATTGATGAGTCTTCTTTCTATGCTTAACATGTTACTTGACTCAAAATTCTATGTATAGAAGGGAGTGGATTGGGGATTCAGAAGGTTTTTTTCTTGTAAATCTTTTTTGAGCCTTTGATTGATCCTTTAATTCCATTATTCCAACCATCTTTAAAGATTTGGTAGGTTAAGGGTTAAGGTGCCATTAAAAGTGCACGTTTGCATATAGATAACTATTCATTCTAAAGATTAAAACTAATGAGATTCTCCAAAAAAAGAGACCTCTTTATTGTCTTAAGCTGCAATGGTGTCTTATGTGTAGAGATGATAATGAGAGTGTGAATCACTTATTTTTACATTGTCCTTTGATGCATGCATTATGGAATAAGTTTTTTGAGTTTGTGGGTGTCTCTTGGGTTGCTCCATGGACCTTGGATTCTATGTTTTGTTTGGATCACCTGGAGTAAAGGGGAAATAGTAGATGGAAGACCATGTGACATAGTGCTTCATTTGCTACATCGTGGGTGATTTAGAAGGAAAGGATTGTGAGGATAAATGTAAAAAGGTTGAGGGTCAAAGTGATAGACTTCATTTTTTGACTTTTTTTTGGGCCTCAACATTTGAGGAGTTTGAAGATACTCCTCTTGTTTCTATTAGGACAAGCTGGAAAACATCGTGTGACTTGTTGTTTAGGTTACCCTTTTTTCATATGTTTTATATTTTCATGACCTGTCATTGTATTGGACTCCTAGTCCAATGTAATTGGTGGCAACAGTGGTGGAATGCACTTACTTGCACAGTGAAGTAAGAAGAGGTTTGACTACAACCACCTCTTTATCATTAGCTACCCCATCCTCTTTCTTCTTCTCCAGCCAGTTTGCTGCCAACAACTAGGCCAATCTATGGGTCACATTTTAATGTGAATTTGCTCTGAATATGAATCCACTTAGTTAGATAAAGATTGATTTTTTTATTGATTATGCAAATCCAAATTTAAATCCGTTCTATCATACTTCATGTTTTAAGACTTATCAATATCCGATCTAATTATTGTTCAATCTGAAGTTTATATTAATTTATGCTAATATAGTATGTAATTTAGTGATTATGTGATAACATTGAGTTAAATTTAGGTGTAGTTTGATAAAATCAGCTCTAATTAATTTGATTGGATTTGATCGGTTTGGATATCCGAATCAAATATCGAATTTTTACAGATTCGGATATAGACTATGCAAGTAATATTTGTCAAAAAATTCGATCAAATTGGAATCCATACAAATTGTCAGTTGGAGGTTTTGTGGGGGACAAATTAGATGAGGGCGGTAATAAGGTCTCTCTTGAAAACATTAATTAAACAGGAGGAGGAAGAAAAGAGAAGATAAAAATAATTACGGCAGTTAATTTGTGCAATCATGCATTAACCTAAGATATACAATAAATGCCCATATATAGTATGACAACAAAACATAATGTAAATGACTAAACTACGGTAACTACCCTTAATATTAATATGATATTATGCTTTTAACGCCCCTCCTTATACTTATGATGTGGTAGTGGAGAACATCAATAGTTTGTTAAGAAGAAAACAAAAATGCGCTATAGTGTGACATCTAGTAAAGAAATTCGTCAACTGCATCGTAGAAGGAAGAAAAGAGAGAGAGATAGGTGCTCGACTGAAGATAATGGTGCACAAAGTCATAGTCAATCTCAATATACCTTGTATGTTCATTGAAGACCGAGTTGTGAGCAATCTGAATAGCGTTGATGTTGTCACAATATATAGGGGTCTAAGTAGATAAAGAGATATCAAGGTCCGTAAGGAGTCATCGTAACCAAACTATGTCAACGGTGGTAGATGCCATGACATGATACTCAGTTTCAACTAAGGCATGAGTAACAAGAGTTTGCTTATTACTTTTCCAGGAGATAAGCGAATGAATTTGCGATCTATAGAGTCACCAACCCAATTAAGATTTGAGTAAAGCCTTAAGTTTTATATAAGAGGAGGAAAAAATAATAAACTCTGATATAGAGTACCTTGATAACACCAAAAAATGCGGACAACGACAACCTAGGAAACAATAGTGGGCGAGGCAACAAACTGACTAGCAACGTGAACAGCATTAGAGATATCCGGACGAATAACAGTAAGATATATCAAACTCTCAATAATAGTGCTATAGAGAGTAGGATCAGACAAGGGTGTACCATCAGAGGAAGAATAATGAATATTGAGTATGTCTCAACTATTCGAGTATCTGATAGACGAGCTCACTGAATAACATCCAATGCATATTTAGACTGAATGGAGAGATAACCTTTTGGGAGAGGAAGCGACCTCAATCCCTAAGAAATATTGGAACTGACCTAAATCCTTCATCTTAAAATGATCTTGCAATTGAGTTTTCAATTGTCGTATGCCACCGGTGTCATTTTATGTAATAATCATATCATGAATATATAATAAGAGAACAATAGAACCAAAAAAAGAAAAATAGAGCATAATCATGATCACTAGTACAAAAATTTAAGTCAAAAATACTGTAGAAAACTTGGCAAACCATGTCTTTGGAGTCTGTTTAAGGCTATGTAAAGCTTTACGAAGCATGCATACTTGACCACGACTATGAGACAATCTAGAAGGAGTCATAAAAACCTCTTCACATAAATCTCTATGGAGAAATGTATTTTTCACATTCATCTGAGATAAGCTTTATTGACAAATGACAACAACTGCAATCAAATTACGAACAATGGTCATCTTAGCAATAGGAGAAAAAGTCTCATCATTGTCTAGGCTATATTCTTGAGCAAAGCCCTTGGCTGCTAGTTGAGTCTTGTACGATTGTATCTTTTCACAGAACCATCATATTTGGTTTTGATCTTATAAATTCACTTGCAATCAATGGTGTGTTTGCCAGTGGGTAAAGACACTAACTCCTAAGCCCTGGTCTTATTTAAGGCATATAGCTCCTTATCCATAGCCTGTTGCCAAAGAGGATCAAGTGAAGCCTCCTTATAGGAGGTGGGTTTAGAAAGAGAATGAATAGAAGTGAGAAAGGAACAAAAATTAGAAGCATAACAAGTGTTGGAGGAACCAATTCTATCCGGGCATTTTCAAGAACACAGAGGATATCGATGAACATGATCCACTGTGTCAAAATCTGACTAAGTGACTAGAGGAGAAGGGGGAGGTACCACATCTGTGGAGAAAATAACAAGAGTCCTACGAACATAAGTATGCACAATAGGGGGACAGGTAACAATTAACTTAGAAGAGGAAGCATAGGAGGATGGCAAATCTAGCATAATTATATCCCCAATATATGTATCATGGGAAACAACAGCTAGAAAAGGATTAATGTATAGGAGATCCAATTTATCCATCAATGAAGAACTAGATGGAATTGAAAAGAAAATTATATGTTGCATCAAAATAACATGATGAGAGATATAAAGTTTGTGAGTAATAGGATCATAGCAACAATACTCCTTTTGACCCTTATCGTAACCAAGAAAAATACATAAAGCTCAGCGAGCAGAAAGTTTGGTACAAAGAGCATTAGGGATCAAAACAAAACAAGTACAATCAAATACATGTAAGGAGAATTATCGAGGTGGCTTACCACATAATTTTTAAATGGAGAGACTCCAAAGGTGAGAATAATAGTAATGCAATTGATCAAATGAAACTGCTCTAAGAAATGCTTCCCCCCAAAAAAGAGCTGGGGCCATTTGCTGAAAGCAAAAGAACAGGGGTTGTCTCTATAATATATAGTTGAATTATTATGGAGTTTGGGTATTAGAGAATAAGAGGGAAAAGAGAGAGAGAGAGAAAGAGATTGGGAAAAGTGTATCTTGTATTAGGTTAAACAACTACACCAACGTATATATAATCATACAGTGCAAAATACTAAACTACCTTTTTCTAATATTAATGCATAACGCAACACTCCCCTTCAAGTTAGTGCATAAATATCTCTCATGCTCAACTTGCAAACGATGGAGTGAAAAA